GACTTAGTGACTAACAGCCGGGGTGCTGCCAAAGTGATGTTCACCTTCGAAGCGCAAATCCCGTAAGTGGTCAGAAAGTAGATAGGGAAGTCCCCCTGCCCCAAATATATACCTGTAGAGAAGTAGAAAGGAAGCTAGACATACCTGTGTGGAAACATAGTATTTTTGTTGTCATTTCTTATTTTGTTTTATTAATATGATATGGGCATGTCTGGTGGCCTAAGACATTACCTCTTTACAAGTCTGGTCAAGGAGCTGGAAGGGAGACCACCTTTGCAGAAAGCAAGAGGTGGAACAAAACTTATGTTTACTCTTCCTCCTTTACAGGTCGCCAGCAAAAAAAGAGATAACACTACCTTTGCCTTTACCATCAACAACTGGGAGCCCTGAGTGCTAAAATCCTCATCTGTTGCCCTTTCCTGTAAATAAAGGTCCTTCTGTCCACTCTGCCTGCCTCCTTCCTTGGGCTTTGGGGTGGAAATCTTGGCGCTAACCCCCAAGGGTTACTGCCAGTTCATTTGGGGATTATTTATACTCTGGGGATCAACAGGCAGGGAGGTTAAGTTACTAGAAGAGGTGGGGGAGCTCCCTCCCTCGGTGTTCCCCATCAGCCTGCTAATGCCTTTAGTCTCTTTTACTTTCACAGGATATCCAGCCTCAGCCCTATTTCCCTAGCCAGACCCCACCAGTTTCTACCCACAACCCTCATGTGATTTGAAGGAGGAAAGGATTTTGAGTGGAGGTAGTAAAGAAGGCAGACAACATGAAGGGCAAAGACCTCTTCTGACAGACTTATTAATAGGGCACCGGGCTGCGTGCAGCTGACGCTTGGCATGACTTTGGTAGAAGCTGGGGGAGGGGTTAGAAGTATGGGCAGCTGTGTACATTGCAGAGAAGGATTGGCTGGACTGAGAACGAACACCTCTGAAATCCTGAAGTGGGACAAGGAACCAGACGTGAGGAAAGTCAGGCTCCCAGCGCCTGCTATAGTTTATTTGTGAATTAAATGGGGAAGGAGAGTATCAGTCTAAGGGGAGATCAGGAGGTTCCTCCTCATCAGAATCAAACTCAACATTCTCATCTTTTACCCATCGACCTCGTCCATCTGGAATCCATCCAGAGCTAGAAACAGCAGAGAAAATAGAATGGGTCAGGAAAGGTTTATTAAGTCAGCGGGATAGGAAAAAACAATTCAGAAGGTTTGAAAAGAGGAGGGTCATAGGAAAAAGGGAAGAGTGACTCTGCACACTCACCTTCGAAGAGTGAGGTAATGATCCAGGGCTCGTCTTCTCGTGGGGCTCAGAGGTGCAGGGGATGAGACAGCTGCTGACTCCTTAGCCTGTGGACCTGCCCCTGGCTCAGGGTCCCTACTGATCTTCCCACTTTGGAGTTCAACCTCTGGGGGCAGCAGAGGGGAAGGCGACACAGAGGGACGAGGAGCTTCTGGCCTGGGTAGAGAAGAATCAAAACCTGTCAAAGCAGTCAAGGAAAGGGCCATTTCTCCTGTGACTCCCAACCCCTTGAAGCAGTGTTTCCTAAATTGTATTCATCAGTGCTCAGTAGATAGAGCATTGGCCTGTGGAAAGGGTCCCGGGTTCCATTCCAGTCAAGGGCATGTACCTCAGTTACAGGCTCCATCCCTGGCCCTGGTCAGGGCACATGTGGGAGGCAACCAGTTGATGTGTCCTTCTTGCATTGATGTTTCTCTGTGTCTCTCCCTCTGCCTTCCACTCTTTCTAAAAATCAATGGAAAAATATCCTCTGGTAAGGATTGAAAAAAAAAGAAAAAGATATTAATGTGTCCTTCATAGAAAGACTTTTGCGCTCTGACCGGTTTGGCTCAGTGGATAGAGCGTTGGCCTGCGGACTGAAGAGTCCCAGGTTCGATTCCGGTCAAGGGCATGTACCTTGGTTGCGGGCACATCTCCAATAGAGGATGTGCAGGAGGCAGCTGATCGATGTTTCTCTCTCATCGATGTTTCTAACTCTCTATCTCTCTCCCTTCCTCTCTGTAAAAAAGCAATAAAATATATTTTTTTTAAAAAAGACTTTTGCAATCAAATGAATTTAGGAAACGCTAGATTAAAAATATTTAAGTTTTTTATCTTAACACTTTGTAGAACCCTTAAAATATACGAATGTTACTATTCTTCAAAAGTATCCTACTTTGGGATGGGAAGAGATCAACCAAAGAACTTGTATACATATATGCATAACCCATGGACACAGACAATAGGGTAGTGAAGGCCTGGGGCATGGGGTGGAGGTGGGCTAGAAGGGGTCAATGGGGTGGAAAAGGGGACATATGTAATATTTTCAACAATAAAGATTTAATTTTTTTAAAAAGTGTCTTACTTTGTAATTCGACAAAATGTGATTTCCCAAACTTTTTTGTAAATTACAAAATTCTTTTTCCTGAAATACCAGTTAACATCTCCTGAACGCTAGTATTCCTGAGAGTACAATTTGGAAAACAATCACTTAAGAACCGTCCATGGGGGTTTGAGGGGTGGTGGGCTGTGGTGGTGTGGGGAGGGTAATTGAGTACAAAAGAAAAAAAGAGAACTCATTGACGTGGACAATAGTGTGGTGACAGCAGAGGGAGGAGGGTAGGTAGAGGTGGAAGAGGGTATATGGGGATAAATGGTGATAAAAATATTTTAAAATGACCATCTATCTCCTTTTATCCCTCCCTATCCGACTTTCCCGCCCCACAGACCTGTGCTTTCGGCGACAGCAACTGTTATAGTGAGGAGCTCTGTGCAGAGCATTCTGGGTGATAAGTCGAGTCTGGGTTAACAGAGGAGCCTGGTATGGAGATGGAAAACAGAGTCAGAGCTTCTTTCTAGAAGCCAAAGCCCTTCACGCCTAAGGTATGCAGCATGGTGCTCCCTGGAACACACACTTGCATCTCTTGATTACCTCTCCTTTGGTCTCTTCCTTCTCCAATTCATTCTGCTGTTTTGGATTCTGCTCTGTTCCTTTTCCTGACTGCTTCTTGCCATAGAAAAGCTGCAGGCCTGAGGAGAAAAGCAAGAAAATTAAAAGCAAAGCACCTTGAGTGGTCTGCACACATTTTATTACTTTATTACATATATATATATACATATATATATACATATATATATATATATATATATTTTAATCTTCACTGGAGGATCTGATCTTTAGAAAAAGAGGGGGGGGAGGGGAAGGGAGAGAGGAAAAAAACATTGATATGAGAGAGAAACACATATCAGTTGCCTCACAAACTCACACTGGGATCAAACCTGAAACCTACTAGGTATGACAGGGAATGGAACCCAGAACCTTTTGGCATACGGGGGACACTCCAACCAACAGAGCCACCCGGTCAGGGCTTCAGGGTTTATTCTCTATCCCCTGTCTTCGGACACACTTACTGGATAGATGTTTCTTGCCTGCACGGTGGGCAGTCAGCATGGCCAGGGTGTCCAGTACAGGTCGGTGGGGACATATGGCACAAGCAAAGCTGGAGAGGAGATAGAGTCCTTGGGGAGTGGGTCTCTGCCGGCGGTCCCACCCTGTCCTAGCAGGCCTTTCCCAAGGCCAATCCCAACCATCCTAATCTCCACCACCCACACCCCTGCCCCCCTCCCCACCAAAAACCCTACATACTCCCGCTCTCCTCAGTAACAAAAGTGTATTGAGCCTCTAATCGCAGAACCCTCAGGCTTGATCTACTCTCGCCCTCCCTCACCGTCCATCCCGTAGCATCAGCGCCTCGTCCTCTGGTATATAACTGGCCAGCAGGTCCCCAACTCTTCGCTTCTGCAAAGAGAAGGGAAAGAAGTCCGGAAAGATCAGCGGAGTAGGAGGAGGGGGGCGGGGCAGGGCGATGACAGGGACAGGGACTCATACGGACTAAAGACCATGGAGAGAAGAGATCACAGAGCGAAGAAGGGGCCACAGCCCAGGACTAGTAACCCAAGACTAGTCACCCTGACTCCCCGCCCCCCCAACCCTCAACCCCCATCTGTTGCCAGAGCAACAAAACAACTCCTCCGCGGCCTTCAGAGGGCAGCGGAAGCAGCTCTCCACGCTCCCCTCTCGCGCTTACTTTGAGCACATTGAGTTGACTCCAGTCGTCCCCCTCTCTCTTGAAAGACATCACAGCGGTGAGTCCCAGAAATAATAAATTCTATTGCACAGACTTCGCCACTCCTTTCAGGCCACCGTAGCAAGAGTGGGGCGTCTCCTTTCCGGCTGGTCTCTTCCCGTTTGGCCTCCTTACTTCCGGGGACGGCTTCCCGGCATTCACTGCGCGATCCCGAAAGCCCGCCTCCAGCCCACCGAGGGGGACTGCATTTCCTATGGTCCCCTGCGACCCCGCAGACGCGGAGCCTTTCGGGAAATGAAGTCTTTTTTCAAAGAACTTGCCTTCCGGCTGGTTCCGGGCCCTTGCATCTTGTCATATTCGAGGCATTTGGAGAGATAGATGTGGAGCCCGAATTTGAGGGGGTGACTCATCTGATGCGGAGTGGGCCTTTGGGGATCTCTGAGTGGAAAGTGTACTTCAAACTCTCCCAATCATCACGCGCTTTGTCGGCGGCGACAGCCTACCTGGGGGGCCTGATTTGTTCCCCACCTTAGCGGACCGACCTAGAGACGGGGCGCAGCCGGGGTATAGGGGGTCCCCGGAGAACGGGCTGCCAGACCTGGAGGCAAACTGAACCGAACAGTGAGGAAAGTGTCTAGGGTTCAAAGGTCAAAGGTCAGCGTCGCGAGTTGTAGAGGGTCAAAAGTCGGAGGGGTGTCTCAGGAGAGAGACTCGGGGACTGAATACTCAGAGTACAGATTCGTGGGAAAGGCGCCGGGAGGGAGGATAAGCGAGAGTGGAGGGGGGTGCGTAGTCAGGGAGACGGGAGACTCGGCAGGGAAGACAGAAAGGAAAAGGAATCTCCTGGTCACCCGCTCCCAGTCCCCGGGCCTGTCACTCTCGGTCACTTAGCCGGGCGCCCCGCAGTTGCAACCCCAGCTGCCGGCAGGGTGAGGAGATGGCGTCTCCCTCTCGACAGGACCCCCTCGGGGGGTCAGGGCTGCTTCAGGGGAGCCGGGCTCGTTCTTACGGAAGCCTGGTGCAGTCCGCCTGCTCCCCGGTGCGGGAGAGACGCCTGGAGCATCAGCTGGCGCCCGGAGACACGCTGGCCGGACTGGCGCTCAGATACGGGGTGACGGTGAGTCTTCCGGGACTGGGACTGGACAACCGGTTGCAAGAGATTTACTTCTCAGGGCGATGGAGTGGCCCTTCTAGGCTATTTCCTCTGAAACTTCCCTAATTGTGCTGTTCTGTGCTGTCCGATCCACTTTCATGTTTTTGTTTGTTTTCCCATTTGCACCGTCTGGTTGGGACAAATCCTGTCCCACTACCTCAGTGGAGAGGAGCCTTTTATTATGCAGCGACTGTGCTAGGGGCTTTACGTACATTAGCCCGTTGATCCTCACATCCCTGTCCCCTTTCTACAGATGAAGAAACTGAGGCTGAGATGGGTGCACCAATTTGACTAAAGTCAAATAACAAATCAGCATTAGAGTGGAAATTTAAACGTCTGTCTGCTGACAAAAGTCTGCACTGATGGCCACATAGAAGCTGTTTAATTGAGAGTGATTAAAAATTTACAGCAAATCCTGGAGAGCTGGGTTTTAGTTCTGAGTTCCTAAAGTGCCAATCTCTCCTTGTTCTTTTTTCCTCCTCAAGGCTCTCCCTTCTTCTCTCCAAGGTGCTCTCCACACCAAGCATTTCAGGTCATGCACAGGGAATATATGCTAGGTGTAAAAATACACTGCACTAAAGTGGACGAGGGTTTTATTTTTTTCCATATCCTGTTGAATTTAGTCAACATTGTTATGCTCGGTAGGTTTAAAGCACTCTGGTAGCCATTCTGGGAGGTACAAACATAAACAAAATGTATGGTTGTTGTCCTCATATAATTTACAGTCTAGTGAGAAATGATAGTAGGTGAGAATGTGGTGAGTTTGTAGAGGTATTAACAAAGGATGGAAAATTAGAAAAAAAATTATCTGGAAGGGAGTGGCACATCAGTGCAGATTTCAAGGGAGCCATCATGAAAGGCCTTGAAAGACTTACAAACTCCTTCCTCTATGCTTCTCTTTACAAACCCACGCAATCCAATTGTTTATACCTTTTACATCTTTTTCTTTCCAATAGCCTATATTCTCCTTTAAGAATGATTTTCCCTCAAAATATTATTTGTTTGTTTGTTTTAGAGAGAGAGAGGAAGGGAGAGAGAGAGAGAGAGAGAGAAATAGAAACATCAATTTTGTTGTTCCACTTATTTATGCATTCATCGGTTGATTCTTTTATGTGCCCTGACGGGTTGAACCCACGACTTTGATGTATCGAGATGATGCTCTAATCAACTGAGCTACCCAGCCAGGGCCTTCTTTCAGTTTTATATCTCTATCTGGCATAGTCCCCAACACATAAAGCTTAATAGATTGGTTTTTGTTTGTTTGTTTGATGTTTTTATTGATTTTAGAGAGGGAAAAAGAGAGAGAAATACCGATGAGAGAGAAACATCAGTTGGCTTTAGACCATGATGTTTACTTGAAATGTCCACTTTCCTGAACTCCCAGTCTCCATATGTGGAAATCTGAGCCATACTTTCATTATTAAAAAAACAATCTGCCTGGCTGGTGTGGCTCAGTGGTTGAGCATTGACCCATGTACCAAGAGGTGGCTGGTTTGATTCCTGGTCAGGGCACATGCCCGGGTTGTGGGCTCTATGCCCGGTAGGGGGTGTGCAGGAGGCAGCCAATTGATGTTTCTCTCTCATCGGTATTTGTCTCTCTTTTTCCCTCTCCCTTCCTCTCTCTCTAAAATCAATAAAAACATCAAACAAACAAACAAAAACCAATCTATTAAGCTTTATGTGTTGGGGACTATGCCAGATAGAGATATAAAACCGAAAGAAGGCCCTGGCTGGGTAGCTCAGTTGATTAGAGCATCATCTCGATACATCAGAGTCGTGGGTTCAACGACTTTGTTTAAACTCTAAACAAAGGAAGTCGATATGAAAGTACTGAGCAACCCCGCTCTACCATCAAAGACTCAAAAGCTGTGCAGAGAGGGGAACTGTGCTACTAGTGTTATCAACAATTATTTATTTATTGAGATTTTCTTACAGGCCTGTCCCTTTTTGAGTACAGAAAAGCCCCTTAGTCTACTGAAGAAGTCTAGGTTCTGGCCTCATTCTGCTTACTAGCTGAGTGACTGCATAAGTCACTTCCTCTGTCTGGGTCCTCAGTTTCCTCACCATTTGTGAAATGAGGAAGATGTATTAAATAATGATAATCAACTAAGTTGTTACCTATGTATCATGTAAAAAACATGTAGTATGTGCCAAGCTTTAAGAGTTATCTTGTATGATCTTCATAAGACTTTATGAGGTAGATAGGTGTAACTATTTCCATTTAAAGACAAGGAAATTGAGGCTTAGGGAGATAACTTGCCATAGATTACACAGCTAGTCTAATTAGTAGAGCTAGAATTAGGACCGGGGTCATCTCACTCTAAAATCCTCACTTTGTACTGCTCTGTTAAACTAACTAGATTCTAATGGCCTTTCTAGCTTGAAAAGACCGGCTTGATGGCTTAGGACTCCTCTGGGCTTTGGCCTTGGTTGCATCCTTTTTTAAAAAAAAAAATATTTGTATTGATTTCAGAAAGGAAAGGAGAGAGAGAGATAGAAACATCAATGATGAGAGGGAATCTTCTATCGACTGCCACCTGCACACCCCACACTGGGGAATCGAGCCCAAAACCTGGGCTTGTGCCCTGACCGGGAATTGAACCATGACCTCCTGGTTCATAGGTTGATGCTCAACCACTGCGCCATGCCAGCTGGGCGGTCACATCCTTTTTTAAGACTGGCTCATGGCTCAGTGATTGAGCATCAACCTATGAACCAGTAGGTCACAGTTCAGGGCACATGCCTGGGTTGTGGGCTCGATCCCCAGTGTGGGTTGTGCAGGAGGCAGCCTATCAATGATTCTTTCCCCTCATTGATGTTTCTATCTCTTTCTCCCTCTCCCTTCCTCTCTGAAATCAATAAAAAAGATATATATATATTTTTTTAACAAAATAAAAAATAATGGAGCCCTAGCTGGTTTGGCTCAGTAGAGAGAGCATCATCCTGCAGACTAAAGGGTCCCAGGTTCAATTCCGGCCAAAGGCACATGCCTGGTATGAGAGCTTGATCCCCTCCAGTGGGGGACATGAAGGAGGCAGCCAATCAGTGATTCTCTCTTTTTTTTTTTTTCTTTTTTTTTTTTTCGCTTAAAGTATTACAAAGGGTATTACATAAGTGTCCTTTTTTTTCCCCCCCACCCTGATTCTCTCTTATTGATGTTTCTATTTCTCTAAGTCTCTCCCTTCCTCTCTGAAATCAATAAAACTATATATATATTCAAAAAATAAAAAAATAATGGAATATGTTACCTGACCCAGAGGAGTCATAAGCCATCATGTGCCCTGATCGGGAATCGAATCTTGATCTCCTGGGTCATAGGTCGATGCTCAACCACTGAGCCACACCAGTTGGGCTGATGCTATTAATTTTTATTTTTCCTAGCTAGTATCGTAGGTCCCTTCTAGCTCTAAGATATTATATTACTGTAAATTTTCTGTGGCTTTTGTTATTTCCTAGAAGTACCATATAAGAGGACATATTCCATTCTTTTGTGTTTGTTTTTTTAAATATATTTATTGATTATCATGCCCAGGTTGCAGGCTTGATACCCAGTAGGGGGCATGCAGGAGGCAGCTGATAAATGAATCTCTCTCATCATTGATATTTCTATCTCTCCCTCTCCCTTCCTCTCTGAAATAAATAAAAATATTTTTTTAATTAATGTCATCAAAACACTTGGCAAAGTCAAAGCACAGAACTGCAAGCCAATTTTAACTTTTTTTATTGTTTAGATTAATCTGGTTTTATTTTTAAACACATCATAGCATAAGATTTTTTAGTCAAGTTTTTATAATAGTTTTCCCCCAGGGTGGAAACAGCTTAGATATTTGACAGACATAAAAAATATGATTTCCTAAACTGATGCCAATATGGGATGAATTTTTAGTACAACTGGCTGCCTGGCCTCTGATAATAAAATACTGACATACTGTATCTGTGATTTCTCTATTTTATGACCTAGTTTAATCATAAAGCATTAATGAGCCTCTGCTGTGTGCCAAGTTTGTGATGTTGAGGAGCACCTTAGAGATACAGAGACTGCAAGTCACCATTCCTACCTTTAAAGGACTCACAGAGTTTGAGCAAATATGCAAAGAGGTGAATAACAATATAATAGGGCAGGCATTTACAACCATACTTACAGTATGGGAGCCCTGAGGAAGGTAACGCAAAGGAAGTCAGAGTTGATAAGCAGACATTTTTCAGGCAGAGAAGGGGATAGCGGAGAAGCCTTTCAGGCAGATAAAGACACAAACGTGTAAAAGATCATGATATACTAAAGGCCCAATGCACAAAATTCGTGCACAAAATTTGTGCAGGGGGCTGGGCCCTTGCAGCCCCAGCTGCCTTGCGGCCACGCCCACTGGTCATTCCGGAAGGTCGTTCTGCCATCTAGTCTAATTAGCATATTAGCTTTTTATTATATAGGATTCAAAGAAAAATGAGAAGTTCAGGATGGCAAATATATAGGTGGCAGAAGAAGAGAGATGAAGCTAGACATTATGGGAGCTAGATTGAGGATGCCCTTGAATGCTAATTTGTATTTTAACTGAGCCAATGAGGAGCCAGAGGGAGTTTATAAGTAGGGTAATGAGTTGATCAGATTAATTTTTTGAGAAAGATAGATGTGCCCTGGCTTATGTGGCTCAGTTGATTGGAGTGCCGTCCTGTGCACCAGAAGGTCTCTGGTTTGATTCCCAGTCAGGGCACATACCTAGGTTTCGAGCCTGATCACATTGATATTTCTGTCTCTCTTTCCCTTCCTCCCTCTCTTAAAAAGAAGCAGAAGAATAAAGATAGATGTCAGCAAGGTGAAGGATGAGTAGAAAGACCAATTAAACTTTCAGTACTCAGATGAGAAGTATTAAGGCTTGTTCTAAAGCAGTGGTTCTCAACCTGTGGGTCGCGACCCCTTTGGCAGTCGAACGACCCTTTCACAGGGGTCACCTAAGACCATCCTGCATATCAGATATTTACATTATGATTCATAACAGTAGCAACATTACAGTTATGAAGTAGCAACGAAAATAATTTTATGGTTGGGTCACAACATGAGGAACTGTATTTAAAGGGCCAGAATGTTGAGAACCACTGTCTAAAGTGATGGCAGAAGACTGAAGATTAAACCAGATATGAGAGGCCACGTGGGTATGGGTGATGAAAGAAAAGTATGAGTTAAGAGTGACATTGATATTTCTACCTTGGGAGGCAGGTAGATAGATGGTGATGCCAGTCACCATGTTCAGTGATAAATAAGTAGGTACTAAGTAAATATTTGGTCAGTGAAATTAATATTGTAGTGTGGAATATTCCCAGAAGGAGTAAAAGGGCCCTAGCTCTGTCATTAACTTGTTAGATAATCTTAGGCAAGTAACTTAATCTCCCTGAGCCTCAGTTCCTTCATCTTTAATAGAAGTTCTCAAGGTGAGATCCAGGGACCCCTAGGGGTCCCTGAAACCCTTCAGGGATCTATAAGGTCAAAACTGTTTTCATAGTAATAATGAGATTTTATTTGCCTTTTTCATTCTCATTCTCATGAGCGTACTGTTTTCAAGAGGTTACATCACATGTGAATCAGGGGAATTTCATCTTATTGTAATCAGCTAGGAACAGTATATACAACTAGCTGAAACTGTTGAGATACAGTTTTAATTAAATTAAAAACTGAATTTTAAAAAAAGAGGCTACATCATGTGATATTTAAAGAGATTGAATGTAGAGACAGATACGAGAATCCTGTTGTCTTCTATTAAGTCAGATATTAAGGTGATTTGCAAAAATGTAAAACAGTGCCTCTCCTTGCTACATTTTTGTTGTTTTGGAAAATATAGTTATTTTTCTTAAAATATTTATGTTAACATGTAATGGGTTTATTATTTAGAGAGGAAGGGAGAGGGATAGAGAGTTAGAAACATCGATGAGAGAGAAACATCCATGAAAGAGATAGACAAAGAGAAACACTGATGTGAGAGAGACACATAAATTGGTTGCCTCCCATATGCCCCCAACCCTTAAGTCCGCAGGCCGATGCTCTATCCACTGAGCCAAACCGGTTAGGGCTATAGTTATTTTTCTTAAAATATTTATGTTAACATGTAATGGGTCTATTATTTTTAAATAAATACATGTTCTTAAACTTTTGCAGTTTTTCTTTTTAGAGAGTGGAAGGGAAGAGAGAACAAAGAGAAACACTGATGTGAGAGAGACACATAATTGGTTGCCTCCCATATGCCCCCAACCAGGGACAGGAGCCTGCAACCGAGGTACGTGTCCTTGACTGGAATTGAACCTGGGACCCTTCAGTCCCCAGGCTGATGCTCTATACACTGAGCCAAACCAGCTAGGGCATAAACTTTTTTGGTTTTAATTTATAATACCTTAAATATTGATAGCTATCATCCACATAAAGAAAAGCTTTTTTCCTCATAAGTTTTTTAAAATCCTCACCCAAGGATATATTTATTGAGGGAGAGAAACACTAATGGACTATATCCGGTACGCGCCCCAATCCGGGGTTGAACTCGCAACCTAGGTATGTTCCCTGATCTGGAATTGAACCCACAACGTTTTGGTGAACAGGACGATGTTCCAACCAACAGAGCTACTCAGGCAGGGCTTTCCTCAATAATTTTTAAAAATGTAAAAGGATCCTATGACCAAAAGACATGAAAACCACTGATCAATAAAATAGGACTAAGATCAGCCCCTTGTACTTTAGTTTGATTGTTATAGGGTCTCTTGATAAGAGATAAGACTGTACAATCCCTTTTTAAAAAATGTATGTAATCCTTTCCCAAGAATATGTTTTTCATTGATGTTAGAGAGAGAGGAAGGGAGAGGAGGAGAAATGAGAAGAGAAACATTGGTGTGAGAGAAACATCGATGGGCTGCCTACTGTATGTGGCCCGACCAGGGATTGAACCTGTGACCTTCCAACCAACTGAGCCACACCTGCCACGGCTACACAATCACTGTTAAAGGCATTAAATGCTATACAAATATAACATGTATCTTTATTACTGTCATTAATTGTGGTGACTATTTTTTTAAAGATGGAACAGATTAAACGTGCAAACCGCCTTTATACTAATGACTCCATCTTCCTGAAGAAAACCCTCTACATCCCCATCCTGACAGAGCCCAGAGACCTGTTCAATGGTTTGGATTCTGAGGAAGAGAAAGATGGAGAGGAAGAGATGCAGCCAAGTAAGGCTGAAGTTTGGCCACACTCAGCTGAGCAGAAGACACGGCAGACAGGCTCAGGACATGCCAATGGCAAAGTCCTTCCCACACCTGGCCAGGAACCCCCCACTCCCATCCATGACCTCTCTGCCTCTGATTTCCTTAAGAAGCTTGATTCACAGATCAGCCTGTCAAAGAAGGCTGCTGCCCAGAAGCTGAGAAAAGGGGAAAGTGGGTGAGTCTTACTGGTTCCTTTTAAGCCCCTTCACCGACTTCTCTGTTCTTCTAGGCTTACCTTACCAGATAGACAAGTAAGTAAGCAGTGTCCGCAGAAGCAAGGGGAATCCTTTCCTCCAGTGGCCCCAGGGCAGTGAGCAGAGCCAGTGGCTGCTGGAATGGGTAGAGGCAGTGGGGAAGGGTTTTGTGTTCTCACTGGAGTAAAATAGTTGACTGTTCTTACTGCTCTGATGATCCATGAAGGAGCAGTAGGACTAGGATTTATCCGGAAGACATTGAGACTCCATCTAGACCAGCTTGGATGTATTAGGAAAGGAGGCAGCTTCCCACGGACCTCATCATTGGCCTATTCTCAGGCTCTCCCCTTGACCTGTCACTCTTTCTCCCCTTTCCTCATTTGCAGGGTACCTGGGGAGGAGTCAGGTCTTCACCGCAGCTCCCCTCGGATGCAGCAACGAGCAGTCCTAGGTCCCGTGCCACTGACCCGGACCTCTCGAATCCAGACACTTCGAGACCAGGAGGATGAAATCTTCAAACTCTGATGTCTCCAGAACTGATTGAGAGAAGCAAGATGGTGAAGGAGCAACTTGAGGGGGAGAGGAGCCTGAGGTGAGGCTCAAGAACATGGCTTCCCAGCCCACCTGCCTCCCTCCTGCCCAGCCTCATGTCTCATCAAGAGCTCCTTGGCCTGAGGCAGTTTTGTTGGCAAGAGTAGGGGGTGGGGAATAGACCCCTTCTCAGTTCTGGGGTTGAATCTAGAGTTGTCCTTTAGATTCAAGGTTCTTTTTACATCCCTGCTGCCTTTCCCATCCCGTTCACCATTCCTTGGCCTTAGAACAAGAGGCAGGTGACTCCCTCAGGCCCTAACTTCTTCCCCATCTCCAACTATGTTACCTAATTTATTTGGTGCTATATTGAAGTAATATTTATTTGCTGTATTTTGTTCTTTCCCACTCTTAGCTGAAAAATGGGATTTTTATAGCCATGGTGTGAGGGAAACCCAGGAACAGTGAGCCAGTAACTGCTGGCTGCCCACCTTTTTAGCCAAGCATGTTATTGAGGGTGGGGCAATCAGTGATCTAACCCTCCAAGTAAAGAATTTGGGTTTAGTCTTGACTAACCAGTTCACTACAACTCTTTCACAACTCTCTCTGAGGAAAAAAAACAGTGATGTAGGTACCGGAACTATTCAGTTCACCTTCTAACCTGCGCCTCTGTTCAGCCTGTGTGGCTAAGGGATGGAAGAAGAATTGCCTTGGAGTTCGAAGAAGAGAACAGTTGTGGGAGTGTAACAAACAGTTCCTATTTGTTATACTCCCTCCCCATCAGAGCCTGTTGCTGTATGCCTTGCTCCTCACTGAATATTTATTTGCAGTTTGTAGCACTGATCTGCGGTAGTTTTTAAGCAGAAGTAGGCAAGGGAACCCCAGTGATACTGAAATACGCCTGAGTCTCCTGTGTGCAAAGGCGAGGGTAAGATAAGTGGTGTTAAATACCATCATGATGATCATCAGATATAAGAAACTGGAGAGATTAAACACTGAGCCCTGTGCATGTTTTAGTAGTTTTATTTCCCCTGTGAGACTCTCCCCTGCCCTAGCCCCTCTTCCTGTACTCTGGGACAGAGCCCCTGGTGTCTGTCCTGGCTCTGCCTAGAACCGCAGGTCTAGGATGTCTCAAAGTGACCCCTTCCCCCCTCTGTCTTTAGTGTCCCCAGAGGGTTCACAGGGGAAGGGGCTTCCCTGTTTCAAACATCCCTTATGGAGGAAATAAGAGATCCAAATTTCACTTCCTCTTTTCATGCAGCTTTGTTTCTTGCCCAGGGGCTGGTGTGGGAGAGAGGCCTCATTGCTTCTTCCCCACCAGCCATTTGGGTTAGGGGGATTGGAGTCAAAAGCATTCCTGGGGGAGACTGGAGCCGGAGGACTGAAAAGCGTTAGTGCAGATGAGCAGAGTTAGAGAGCCCATTCATTGTCTGTTGCGTTCTCAGCCAGCCGTTTAGTCACGATCACGGTGGAATGCGCTGGGTTCAGAGCTTTCCCTCATCCAGCAACTTCCTGAGCCCATCACAGATCTTGCCAAGGTGCTGAGTGAAGTCAGGCCCGTAGAGGGCCGTGAGCAGGCCTGGGTCAGAGAAGTGGTCGAACACGTGGCGGATGCGGCCGTGTGACTTGGGCGTGAGGTGGTGCTGCACCAGCGCCAGCAGTATGTCCCGGCACTCGGTCAGCAGGCTGGCCAGCACCGCGGCCTCGAAAGTGAAGTCCACCTCGCCAAAGCTGAGCGCCGTCATGGCGCCCTGCCGCAGTTTTTGGCGAAAGCTGGCAGCCAGGGCCAGCTCACTGGGGCTAAAGCAGCCACTGCGGTGCAGCACGGCCACCTTGACCGCCACCTTGATGAGGTCCTTGATGACCCGCTGGGCCTGGGACCGGCTTTGCGTGTACTCTTTGGACACACGGTAGAGCTCATCTAGCACCTCGCTGCTTGTCTCGTCGATGAAGAGATGAGCCACAGACCGACCGGCCATCTTACTCAGTAGCTTCTTCTCCGCTTGCAGTGCCAGACTCTTTGAGCTGAAGGACTCCATGGCTCCTGGAGGAGGAGGTGGGGGCGGGGGTATGCGGTCAGTCAGAAGAAAGGCCACAGGCTTCCTTAGAAAGAGAGAAATAGCTTTTCCCCTTTCTGTCTCTTATTTGGTTTCTATCTCATCAGCATCTTTGCTTGTCATATTTTCCCCCTGGGCCCCTCAGTCCCCGATGCCTTGTTCCTATTTTTTCCCTTTACTGCTGTAAGAAATCTTCTTTTGTTTTTAAATATATTTCTATTGCTTTCAGAGAGGAAGGGAGAGGGGGAGAGATAGAAACATCAGTGAGGAGAAAGGATCATTGATAGGCTACTCCCTGCACACCCCAGACTAGGGATCGAGTCCGTAGCCCGCGCATGTGCCCTTGACTGGAATCAAACCCAGGACCCTTCAGTCCGCAGGCTAATACTCTATCTATTGAGCCAAACCAGCCAGGGCTGTAAGAAATCTTGATCTCTAAGGCAGCCTAGAGGAGCAGAATAGCTTTGGCTGGAGGAATGAGGACACACACACACACACACACACACAGGAGGCTAGCCCACCTCAAGTTAAGTTTTAAGGCGAAGCAGGCTATGTCTGCTACAGTGGAGAAGATAAGGCTTACCTGGCAAAGAATTCTCCCAGCTACCATTTTGGACACTGACCATGTGCCATATATCTGTGAGGTGTAGGTATTTCTATCCTTGTTTTATAGCTGAGCAAACGGAGGCTTCATTAAATCATTTACCCAAGATCAAACACTACTGTTTTTCTGACTCCAAAAGCCCATGTCAACCAGCGTGATATGCTGCCTTTAAATAAGTGAAAAATATGGGGCCCCAGGAGTCTTGATAAAAATAATAACTAACATTTATTGAGACCCTACTATGTGCCAAGTGCTTTATGTGAATTATCTCAGTCTTCCCAACCCTTTGTAAGATAGACATCCCGATTTTACAATGAGAAAACTGAAGCCAAGTGAAATTAAGCAACTTGGCCAAAGTCATTAGCAAATGATAAAAAGGGGCCTGAAACCAAATAATCCAAAGAAACTTCCTTCCCTGGAAGGCTGTCCAGGCTGTTGAAGCACACGGAGGAAGCATGAGAAGCAAGCACCCCAGTGGGGGCAGGCAGTACTAGAGGTCTAGTCTTCTGCTGGACCTGAACTGGGACCCTCCTGGTGACCCATCAGCTGCAAATGTCCAGGGCGCTCGCCCCGTGGTCTTTGCCTGGGGTTGTTCTGGTTGTTTTGCTTCTTACTTCCCCCTCCCCTGTTCTGCAGGATGTGGCCGTGACCGCAGTGAGGAGCAGCCTCACCCTCTCCCCCAAACCAATATGGGAGTCTGAAGAGTCAGGCAAGATGGGTACCTGGGGGGTGGGGGGGTTCTCCCCCAGCCGAGCCAGTCCAAAGGGAACCTGGAACCTCGCTTTGTCCCTGCCTTTGTTGGGGGCTTTCTGAACCATGTTCCACAGCCGGGAGAGGAGATTGCTCCATTTGGGCCTTCCTTCCTCCTTGGCCTTCCTGTTACCCAGCCCTCAGTTGCCCCCGTTGCCATCTCACGTTTGGTCCACTGTCCTCTCCCTCTCTCCCTGTTTCTGTCTCACTTTCTCTTGCCTGGGACCTGCCCTATGATCCTCCGGCCAGGCTCTTCCTCTGGACCTTACATTTACCTCCATGGCTCCCAAGATTGCCTTGCACCCCTCAGTACTCTGTCAGACACACACACCTCCACCCCCAGGCCTCAGCCCTGCCCCAACCCATCCCAAACCATGTCTGTCTTGCCCCAGGGAAAACTGAGCTGGACCCCTCCACTGGAGACCCAAGAATGCTATCGGGTTAGTCTCACAATCTGGAAAGATCAGGCTGACAGAGCCAGGACTCTCTGTCACCTTCACCCCTAAAGCCTACCAGTCCCTTGCCAGTCATTGCCAGTCCCTCACCTGCTGTGCACTGGGTGCCAGTCTTGCCTTGGATGTTCCGGAAGAGCTGACTGAATGAAGAAGCTCCAAAGTGAGAGGCCCTTTGGCCTGGCCCCACCCCTCAAGCCCCGCCTACCTACTCTCAGCTCAACCTCCGGTTCTTCATACAGTCACCAAGAAAGTTTATGGCCCAAGAGCCTCCTAGAAGTATGACATAGGTCAAAAGGAATAGCACTCTGTAGGAAATAGTCTTGATTCTTATTTGTTTTTTTTCTAATATATTTTCATTGACTTCAGAGAATAAGGGAGAGGGAGAGGGAGAGAGAGATGGAAATATCAATGATGAGAGAGAATCATTGATTGGCTACCTTCTGCACACCCCACACTGAGGATCAAACCCACAACTCGAGCATGTGCTCTTGACCAGAATCAAATCTGGGACCCTTCAGTCTGCAAGCCGACGCTCCATCCACTGAGCCAAACTGGCTAGTCTTGATTCTGTGAGGTGATAAGGAGGGATTACATAAACCCTGTTCTCAAATGGTCTGCTTGTTTCTTTGCTTGCTGCTCAATTCCTTGAAATCTTGTCAAGTACAAATGGCTGGGGTGTGCAGTCAATGGAGAATGTTCTGAAGATTGAGCTGAACTTAAGCTGGAGATTCCAGAGGCAAGACAGCGACCAGCAGACTTGAGTGTGCTCCTGGAGCAGTATTATCATTAGCATATGCTTCCAGCGCCTGGCTGAGTTAGGGCGGCACGGACTGTCCCTCCCTTAATACTTGAGAGAGGGAGGTGCTAGGGCCAGGGCTGCCAAACCAGATCTGACCAGCAGGTGTCAGCACAGGATTGAACCACTGGAAGAAACAAGCCTACCATGTACTTTGTAGCTGCTAAAGAAATTTTAAAAATGAAGGGCCCTGCCAGCATTGCTCAGTGGTTGAGCATTGACCCATGAAGCAGGAGGTCACGGTTTGATTCCAGGTCAGGGCATAGGCCTGGGTTGCAGGCTTGATCCCCAGTGTGGGGCATGCAGGAGGCACCCAATCAATGATTCTTTCCCATCATTGATGTTTCTATCTCTCTCTCTCTCCCTCTCTAAAATCAATAAAAAAAAATTTTTTTTAAATGAAGGAAAGTCAGAGTTCCTAAATGAGGCAAAACTATTTACCATCAAAAACCATGCAGCCCACCCTAACCGGTTTGGCTCAGTGGACAGAGCGTTGGCCTGTGGACTGAAGGGTCCCAGGTTTGATTCCAATCACGGGCATGTACCTTGGTTGCGGGCACATCCCCAGTGGGGAGTGTGCAGGAGGCAGCTGATGGATGTTTTTCTCTTATCGATGTTTCTAACTCTCTATCCCTCTCCCTTCCTCTCTGTAAAATAATAATAATAATAATAATAATAATAATAATAATACAGCCCTAGCCATGTAGCTCAGTTGGTTAGAGCGTTGTCCCAATATGCCAAGGTTGCAGGTTCGATCACATACAAGAAGCAATTAATGAATGCATAAATAAGTGGAACAAGAAATCTCTCTCTCTTCCTTTCTCTCAAATCAATAAGAAATTATGAGAGTAGAGAGAAATTTAGGGTATTTTTTATAGGGCGAAAGAAGCAGACTTAGAAGGATGGGTACTATCTAATAGGCAGATATGAGGAAGAAGTGCTTCCCAGATGACGGGGATAAGTATAAGTCATACAGCAAATACAGTAAAGATAAGATGAGGCATACTCAGGAAGCGGTGATTCTGTATGTCTGGAGCATAGGTTCTGAGAGAGAAGTAAAGAAGGAAAAAGACCAGATTATGGAAGGTCTTAAAGCACTTGCTCAAGACTTCAGACTTTTCCCATAGGCAGTAGAGAGGCATTACAGGTTTTCAATCAGGAAAGTGAAATCAGTAACTCAGTGGGATTGGGTGAGAGGCTTCAATAAACTTTTAGCTGAGAAAGGGGTATGCTGGAAAGAAGTTCAATGGTATAGCTTGCTTAACTTAAGCACAGGATGAGTACTAATGAGAGACCTTGGGATTTGGTGATTTTCCCAGAAAGGGGTGCATGCAGAAGGGGAAGGAT